GAATTTGTACACTGGTAGGGTCCCTCGGCCTGGCCGGCAATCAGGGCCAACTGGAGCTGTCTTGCCCAGTTCCTATTGGGGTGATCAGGGCTGGCCAGCCATGGGATGGGGGAGAGGGGAAAGGCTGATTGGGGATGTTGGCTATGGGGGAGGGACCACGGGAGGTTGGCCCACCCCAGGAGGTTGGCTATGGGAGTGCACTAACCACCAGGGGGCAGCTTCTGCATTGAGCATCTGCTCCCTGGTGGTCAGTGCGTATCATAGTGACCGGTTGAACATTTGGTTGATTGGTTTTAACGGTTGCTAAGACATTTATATATATAGATTAGCAGCCCGGTGCACAAATTTGTGCATGGGTGGGGTCTGGTCAGCCAGCCCCAATGGGGACTGGCAGAGGGTAGGGGATATGGGTGGTTGGCTGGCAGGCCCCACCCCTGATCAAGGTGGGAGGTGATCAGAGGCGGGGCTGGCAGGGGAGAGGAGGCCTCGGAGGTTGGGGAATGGGGGCCGCTGCAGTGCACATCATAGCAATCGGGCGTTTCGGTTGTTCTGATCATTCCATTGTTCCAGGCACTTGGTTTTTAAAGGCAGTCTTCAGGTTACGTCAGACTCGATGTACGTCGTTTTGTGGTTATGTCGCCATCTCCCATTTATTAATTTTTTAAAAAGTTCCGTCATTTCGACGTATGTACATAAGTGCTTTGTGTTTTTTATTATTTATTTACCACAAGTAAAGGTCAGGAATTGTTATCTTTCTTCTAAATTTTTTTTACTATTTCACTTCATTAATGCTGTGTATGTGCTCCACATGAGTAGGTAGGTCCCCACATATGGTGAAAAATCAAGTTACAGTGTGCCATAGGAATGGATCTCTGGCGTAACCCAAGGACCTACTGTGTGTGTGTGTGTGTGTGTGTGTGTGTGTGTGTGTGTGTGTATATATATATATATATATATATATATATATATATATATGGTTGCATTTGCTTTCTAAACCATATCTTTATTCCCATCCCTACCTGTCCTTAAAACATTCTAAAATATTCAAAATATTAGTAATTAATACCGTGTGGGTTTACTGTGATACCAGACACTACTGCCTTTTGTATGTGTTTTCTTTTTGACTCTTGGTGACAGCCTCAGTTTGAAAGCATTTCCCAAGGTCATTCAGTAAAGCTCCAGAGACAAGACGGAAACACAGGTAGCCTGGCTCAGAGCTGTGCTAGCGAGGCTCCATAATCTCCTGGAAGCTTCTGCCATGTTGTCCCACATCCATGTCTGTGTCTGACTCTCCTCCCCTGCCGGATGCCCTGGCTGTGGTGAGTCCCCTTGGAGCTAGGGCTTGCTCGGTATTCCTTTCCCAGAGCTGCTGGTGTGCTGAAAGCGGGCGGTGGTTGTGCTGTATGTGAGGGGTGGCTATGAAACAGGGCGTTGGTGCGGAGACAAAGGAATCACTAAGCCAATAAGCGAACTAAAGAGTGGTTTGGAGCTGTAGGCAATAACTACTATTTTATGCCTTTATGGTCTCCCTCCTGTGTGGGAGTGGGTGCTTCACGGGGCTGCAGCTAAGCGGGCAGCCTGGAGGATGGTGCCTCCTCATCTGTCTGGCCAACCACAATGCATTCTTCAAATGTTAGCTTTAGCAGCGTTCCTATGGCTTCCTGTTTACATGAATGTCCCTCCCCAGTGCTTCGCACACATTTGTGAGGCTGCAAACATCTTGAGGACAAGGACTGTGGCTTTTCTTCTCTGTGTTCTATACCACCTAGCAAAAGAGAATACTTAAATAAAAGGTATACTATACAGCAGAGTATAGATCAGTGGCTAAAAGTCTGGCCTTCATGTCATAGGACTTCTGTCCAAATTTCAGTTTTCTGTTTTTTACATTGAGCACCTTAATCTGCCTGTGTCGGGGGTTGTTATGAGAATTAAATAATACATGGTCAGTAACTGACTCCAGTCCTGGCACCTTGTAAGCGCTTGGTATGTTAGATAGCATTGTTTTTCTATTATGATGGTGATGATGATGATCATTTACTAGCACTATCTTATTAATGAGGCAAATTGTCTTGGAAGCAGTGGGTTCCCTTTTACTGCAGATACAGTAAGTCCTTAGGCACTTAATATGCTCCTAGGTTGTTGGAACTGTGGTGAAATGGCATATAATGAAATCAGCTTTACACAGGCTAATTGAAGTAAAGAAGAGTTAGGTTCCTGAGGCATCTCATCCACGTCACAGCAAAACGATGTGGGGTGAATCCGAGGACCTGCTGCCTCCAAACAGCGGTAAACGCAGGAGAGATGCTGTGAAGTAGTTTTTATTTGAGAGGATTAGATGATTTCTAAGGATGCTTCCAATCACAGAAGAGGGAAGCTATTTCTCTGACTCAAAGAAAGGGTGATCATTTAGTGTTACTTCTAGCAAAGTGAGTGTTAGAATAGAATAAAAAGGGCATCAGATATGGTTGTAGGTAGACATTACAAAGAACATAAAATGTTATGCTTTGTGAACAGTTAATTGCACAAACCCTTTTGCACAAGATACCGGAGCTTTAAGGTAGACCCACCTAGAAGGAATCCAATTATAAGTATGCTTTGTGAACAGTTAATTGCATAAATCAGGCCCTTACATGGAAATCCATCTCTTTTCAAGAGGACTGGGCTGGCCCTGCCAAAAAGGAACAAACAAAACTTTAAAGACTGTCGCAGCCCTGCTGATTAGTGATGCAAATGCAAAGTTATCTGCACAGATGATAATCCTAGCAAACAAAACGGTGAAACCATTAGAAGCATCCCGTCCTGAGAATCCTGAGAGTTTGGCATTCCAGCTTTCAAAAGGCAAAGAAAGAGAGCGCAACTGATTCCTGTTTGGGATAGATAGTTTGTTGGGTCTGCTTACCTGCATCCTGTGCTGATTATCCTGATTAAAGAGGCCAAAGAGTTCTCCAAATATGGACAAGCAGAGGGAAGGCCTGCACTCAGAGGCCCCAGCAAGTGCCTTAAACTGGCAAAAGCAGGATCCTTGGCCATGGAATAACATGTAGTCAGGAGTTTAATTCTCAAGACACCGGAGCTTTAAGGTAGACCCGTCTAGGAGAAATCCAATGATAAGTATTCATGGGGGAGCGTTCAAGTAATATGCTCCTATGACTGATACTTTAATTAGAAATTAGACAATTGAAAGGCTACTTGTATCACTGAATAGATGGTCATGTTTCAACACACCTTTTTGTCCATAGGTACTCAGAGTAAACTTCTTTGGGAATTTGGTAAATATGCAGTCTTACTATAGGAGAAAGGATTGAAAAGGTAAAAATGCATGAAGTTAACCGTAAGTAGTATGCGTGGCTATTGTTTGATTGTATTTATTTTATCCCCAACAGGTTTGATGAGATCTAGTTTCTCAGGAGCCAGCAGGCATTGGGGAATATTACTGGTCAGAAGGTGTGGTGTCTTAAAGGTATTAGGAAAGCATTTCTGAAGTAACACTCCAAAGTGGTATTGCCTAAGTGGCCACCACCTACTTGATCAGACCTTCTGGAAAAGCCTAGTGGGCAATTTATTGAGAACAGAAAACTAACCCTCCCTACCTACGTGGTTTCTTGGACAGCACTGGTGTCCACGTAGACTGGATGTAATGCTGGAAATCTGGGTCTCGAGCAGGGTGGGGCTTTGGGCAGGTTAAGAGCTTCCAGATCATCATCACGTGTTTACACTGCAGGTGCAGGAATGGGACTCGTCCATCCTCCACCCTGCGCCGCCTCTTCTTTGCAAGGTTGCTTGACAGCTTGCTCAGTACCCGCCCAGAGTCTTTGATAATCCACTCGTCTCTGGTGAGAAGTCAATCCCTGCTTTTAGTTCTTTGCTCTGCGTTGCCTCCCACGCCCTCCACACCGGCTGCTGGCGGCCGCTCTGCGTGTTTTCGCTCCTCGAGCTTCCCATGCCCTGCCCACGCAGCACGCCTCCCTGCTGGCCCTCTCGGCCTGCCCTCTTTTGCAATCCTGGCGGGCCCCGAGGGTGTCGGGTATCATCGGGGCAATCACTGTTCACTTTTTTCAGGGGCTTTCCCCTTCCCCACAGTTCCAGTAAGTCTGTGTCCAATGCGCACCTGCTTCTAAAATTGGGGACCTTGTGTGTCTTGCAAATGAAAGCTATTCCTCCGGTTTAGGATTGGGACCTGATCCAGCAAAGTCAAACGTGTCATCCAGGGGATCAGACATGGGTAGGTCTTTGAGCTTGGTCCCTGGGGCAGACAGTCCTTTTCGGGCATCGGGCCTTTGCAGCCCCGCACCCTTTCCGTACCCGGGAAAGCCTAGGCCCTGGGAAAAGGCAAAGCTCGGCCGCCCGCCCGCACCGCGGGGTAGACGCGCGGGTCTGGGGCGCGCGGAGCCGGAGCCGGGTGGGCGCGCACGGGACGGGCAGGCGCGCACGGAACCGGAGCGCGCAGGGACCCGGGGCGCGCACGGACCTGCAGCGCGCGCGGACCCGGAACGCGCACGGGCCGGGAGCGCGCACGGACCTGCAGCGCGCGCGGACCCGGAGCGCGCGCGGACCCGGAGCGCGCGCGGACCCGGAGCGCGCACGGACCCGGAGCGCGCACGGACCCGGAGCGCTCCCTCCGGGATCGCGGCTGCGCAGTCGCGCGGGAGCCGGGAAAAGGGGAGGAGGGTGGAGGCGCCGGAGCGAGGGGAGGGGGAGGAGCGGCGGAGGCGGAAGCCATGTTGGAGCTTCCCCCGGAGCGAGGGGCTGCGAGCGTTCTCCTCTCCCCGTGGGTGTGACCGCGGTTCGGCGCGGCGGCGGGGGGCGGGGACGGTTAGCCCGGTCGTCGCCGTCGTTGGCGGCGGCGGCGGGCGGGGAGCGGCGGCGGCGGCGTGGAGAGCCGGGCGATTGTGACCTCCGGGGGAGCAGGGGTCCGGCCGCGGCTTCCCACCCTCCGTGCGGCCCCCTGAGCGCCCCCCCTCCCCGGCCCGGGAGGGAGGCGGGGGGCACCCGGGCCCGCCATGAACCCCGGCTTCGACCTGTCCCGCCGGAACCCGCAGGAGGACTTCGAGCTGATCCAGCGCATCGGCAGCGGCACCTACGGCGACGTGTACAAGGTGAAGGCGCGGCGCCGGCCCCCGGGGTCCCGACCCGCGGCGGGGGCGGGGGCGGGGGCGGGGGCGGGGGAGCGCCGGCGGAGCCCGGGCGGCGGGCGGCGCTGGCGCCCGGGGCGACGGGGGAGGAGGCGGAGCGGGGCCCCGGGCGCCCTCCGCCGCCCGGGGACGAACAAAGGGCCCCATGGTGAACCCCGAGACCGCCCGGTCCGCACCTGAGCCCTGCGGCCCGGGACGCGCGTCCCCCGGAGGGCTGGGCGAGCTGGGCGGGCGCGGGCAGCGGGGCCGGGCGCCGGGTGCCCGGCGGGGCGGGGCGGCGGGCCAGCCCGCAGGGGTTTGGCTGCTGCCGGCCCTGGTGCTGCCGACGGACCTGGCCGGACCCGCTGTCCGCCCACCGGGCCCCGGGCTGGTAGGATTACCCTGGGCAGCTCCCATCCACAGCCCCTCAATGTTTCATTCAGCCTTGTAGCATCATCGGCTCACCGGTTTCTTTTTTTTTTTTTTCCTAAGGAACGCCTTTCTTTGGTAAAAAAGCGATCTAGTGTTAGCATGATTTTTTTTTAATTTTTTTTTAAGGAGGGAGAAACTTTTCTCCCAAGCCCAGCTGGACTCGGAGGCCGTGTTCAAATTGCGTTGTTGTTTTTCCCAGGGATCCAAACAGCGGCAACACTTGCATTCAGTGCTTTGGAAAGGTCCTGGTTTGATCAGGTTAGAATTCAAAGCCCATGAGGAGTAGCATAGCATTGCTGCTGTTAGACCATTTCTAAATGTGGGAGATAAATCACTCCTCCCTGGGCCAGCTCAACTCTTGGCCTCACGGCGACTGCCAAGAAGGGAGGAGGGCAGTGCCAAATGTGGTGGCAGTCTTGATTTAGTTGTGGATCTTCTTACTGGTAACCCAAGTGGAGCAACTCCTGTTTCACACAAACCTGAGGATGCACAGAGCTTAGCTTGGCTTTGGAAAGCATCGCCTTGACTTGATTTTGCCCTCGTTTAAGCACTAGGTTTATTTTTTTATTTTTTTTTATTTTTTTACTTTTACTCCGGTGCCATGCATATTACTTAGATGTGTCATACGGTGCAGCCAGCATTCTGCATTAGTCTTGGTTGGTGGGTGATTTGCTTTCCACCATCACTTATTTTTCCCCCGTCAGACAGGTGTCTGCTGCACACCTGCTATGTACAGGGCATCAAAGCACTTTGTTACTTGGGTAACAAAGACAGACATGTTCCCCCTTGGAGTTTATAATTTTGGGGGACAAGATTATTGCAGTTTTATTTTGTGCTGCAGAGGAGAAAGGATTAAGATGAGGATTAGGAGAGCATGTCACAGGAGGAATGCTCTCTCTCCTCCGGGGAGGCGGAGGCCATGGGGAGAGGGAATGATGCCAAATAGAACACATTCTTGTGGAGGCTCCGAGCCTGGAGGTGAGGCTTTGAAAGGATGCCTGTGCGGCCTGAGCGTCCAGAAAGGGAGATGGTCAGGCTGGCCTCTCAGATCTTGTAAGGAGGGCAGACTCCCCCTCAGGACGATGGAGAGTGAGATTAAGTTTGGATTTTTGAAAGATCTGCCTACTCGGGTGTGGTGAGTGAAGATGAGGAGAAAGCAGTTAGGAAGCTATTGCAATAGTTCATGTAAAAATAGCCATTATTGCGTTTGGGAGTTGGTGGTGATTGTAAAAGTTGAAATGAAGGGATCCAGCTGGTAAAGGAGCCTGTGTAAATTCAGACGAAAAGTTACTAAAACTTTGCCGATGTATAAGTCTTAAGAGGCAGTGTGCACAGTGAGTTCCTTTTCAGTTCTTTACGAGAATAATTGGCCGTGCATTTACTATATTTAAAGGGGAAAAAAAAAACAGCTGTTGGTTAAGCCACTTGACTAAAAAGTAAACAAATTAAGGCCTGTAAATTTCCTAAGAACGTCTATATGCAATACAGGTATACATTGGATTAATCTTGTCATCTTTTTAAAATAATGATGATAAAAACTAATATTTACAGAGTGCTTATTATTTGCCAGGCAGTGCTCTAAGGTTGTTTCACGTGTTAATGTACTTAATCCTCACAGCAACCCTGTGAAATAGACATTGCCATTAACTCTATTTTGCAATTGAGGAAACTGAGGCACAGGGAGGCTATGGTAACTTGCTAAAGCTGGTAGACGGCAAAGCCAAAACTCAAAACAGTTAGCTTCAGAGACCGAGCGTTTGTAACCATTAGGCAGCACTGCTTCTGTAAAGATTGGGCACGGGCAGGGGAAGTGTTACTGGATTTCCAGTGGAGAAATGGAGGCACATAGTTAGCTCAGCGTTTTCCTTGTAGCCCTGCTCTGAGTTCCATTGGGTCTTTGAGTAGCAGTTGGCACCCCCAGCTCCTGCTGTGCAGCCCACTAGGCCACACTGTTGTCATCTGCCAGGCGGCTGTCACATGATAATCGCCCCATTCCTACCTGTCAGACTCTCCCGTTACCAGGGACCCAGAGCGGAAAAATTCCCGACAGTTTTTGGCATTCAAACCATTGCTTGCTAAATAACCCACAGTTTTAATTATTTGTATTTTTTTTGCCTGTAATCATATTTGTGCTGTAAAGATAACATTTTTTTTGCATTTGTTTTGCTGTTTTAGATTTTTCTTATTTATATAAGTTGCATTGATGAGAGAGGAACGCATTAGAGGGTTTGTTTTTAAAAACCAATATGTATAATTTACTCCTTAATTTGTCAGCGTCTAGGTGCTAAAAATGGATTAAGTAACTTAAGTTAGAGACCTAATTATTTATAGTCATTCTTAGAAGGTTGGTGCTTTAAGGGATTTTTATTTTGAAAACGATCCTACTCCAGTGTAGTGATATGCTTATTATATTTCAGGTGGCATGGTTTAGTTAAAAAGCATTGAACCGGGAAGTGGAAGATCTGGAACTTACTAGCTCTGTGGCCTTATAAAATCATTTAGCTTCTCAGGCTGTTCTGTTGTGCAGGTATTACCATCGTATGCCCTTCTGTTTACGGAGTTCAATAAATGACTTGAATTTTACTCAACAAATAAGGTTTGATTTTTTTTTTTTTTTTTTTTTAGGTCCAAAAAATGCAAATATATGTATTTCCTCGGTGCTGTCTTAAAGTATATGGGGATAGAGTTGTGTGTGTTTTTAAAGAAGTAATACTTGCCTTTAACTATGTCTTTTAACTGTGGGCTTTCCTAGTATCTGTCAGTCAGATGAAATCGTTGTAGCAAGGATTATCTAGGGACCTGGGGGTTGACAGCTAGAGAGAGCTGAGGTTGGTCCTCAATTGGCATCGGAAGGCCTCTGAAATCAGTAGGCTTAATGTCATATGTATATATGTTTTTCTGGAGAGGTGACCTAATATCATTCAGTACATTCTTAAAGGATCAGTGATCCCACAAAAGAATAACCTTTAGGTTTGTTATTTGAAAGGGTTTTCTTGGAGAAATTAGATATTTTCTTTGGTTTTTGTTTGCTGGTGTTTTGTTTGCTTTTTTTTTTTTTTTTTTTTTTTTACCAGATCACATTATCAACATTGATATGATTTTCACATGCATTATGCTATCTTTTCTTACGAAAATTTCCAGTTTAATTTGTATTATTCCTACCCTAAAACTCTTTATGTCCTGATGTTTTTCTGCAGTAGTGCTAGAGAGATGCAAAAGACACTAAAGCTGGAGTTAGGGCAAGGCAAAGGATGTTTTTTTGTTTGTTTTAATATGCTTTATTGATTTTTTTTTTTACAGAGAGGAAGGGAGAGGGATAGAGAGTTAGAAACATCGATGAGAGAGAAACATCGACCAGCTGCCTCCTGCACACCCCCTACTGGGGATGTGCCCGCAACCAATGTACATGCCCTTAACCAGAATCGAACCTGGGACCTTTCAGTCCGCAGACCGACGCTCTATCCACTGAGCCAAACCGGTTTTGGCACAAAGGATGTTTTGAAGGACCAGTCTCCGTGTGTTTCTCTGGAAGTGTCTTTTCTAGTTGCCTGACTCTGGCCTAGTCCCTGTGAACGGATTCACAGGTGTCTGAGCCGGGGGCTTTCTCCTGAGCTCTAGCCCGTTGTCCAGCGAAGCTCCTCACAGACCACAGCTTCCTCAAAGGGTGCCTCTCTTCATACCCCTTTTTCTCAAAGCCCCAATGCTGGCAATTCATTAATAAGTTTTGAAGCCTTGGAATCATCTCTTACTTCCGGCCTGAACTTCATAGGCATTTTCCATAGTGTGGCTGGGACGCTCCTGGGAAAGCAATACCGTGCGTCTAGTATTAAAGACCGAGAAGTCCTGTGATCAAGAAACCTTTACCCAGCAAACTCCAAACTTACTTAACTAAGGATTCTTTGCAATGCTTATTGCTTGTCCTTAGAACCAGTGCCTGGTAGGACATGCTTTGGAAATGTGTGTATTTATTTTATCTATGAATGTTTGGAGGCCATTTCCTCTGAAGCAGAGACAGTAAAATGTGGCTAAGCACACATGGTAGTCTATATAAACAGGCTTGGAGTCAGTATGAAAGCTGAGGAGAAAAATTGAAGATTGGGCAGTGAAACCAGGAAATTAGAGTGTTTAAATGTTCAGTGAATTATATATTGACTTATTTGTAACTGCATCTTTCAACGTTGTTACGGTAATATCATCAAACACTAATTCTTATATAAGAACCTTTCAGGAGAACTTAGTTCTGAAACCGCACCTCTGATGAGGGTCATGAAGACCTTAAGCATTTAGAGAAAGAAAGCACGGTTATTTGGGGTTATGCTTATTATTACTTCGTGGAGAACCAAGTCTAAAGGGTATCAGAGGAGATGTCCCTAAACTTCAGAAAGATTGCTTGAATATTTAAGGTAAATTAATGTAGAAGTTTTCAACATCAGTATTATTGGAGATGAAAAGTGATGATGGAACAGACTGGGATAATTTATAAACACACACACACACACACACACACACACACACACACACACACGGCTAACCTCCAGGTTATGTGATTTTGA